CCTTCTGGCCACCAGGCTGCAGAAGCCAAGTGAGGGTAGAGAAGCAGAGTGGAGTAGGGGTGATGAGCATGCTGATCATGCTGATGAGCATGCTAGGCCACGGGTGAGTCAGGTAAAGCAGCCAAAGCCAACCTGAAAGGTGAGCAAGCCAGGTTTAGTGGGGATATTTGGGAGGTTCTGGTGCTGAAGAGAGGCTCAAGTCAGAGTAGAGTTAGGAGTGAGCCAGACGATAGAAGGTGGGTTGTCAGTGGATGGGATGTTGAAAATCAAGAATTGCTTTTTTGGTAGTAGGTGAGGAGTCTGGTAATTGCAAAGCTAAGGCTCAGGTGAGATAAATAATTTGAGGTGAGAGGGTCAAGGCCAGTGTACTGGAAATATTGTCTCTGTCAATGATTTCTGCCCTTGCTCTCACATCTACTAAATTTTTTCGAAAAAATGTATATCCTCTCACACATACAACTTGACCTCTAAAATGTTTCATCATAAGCTTACGTGAGTGCAAAAAATATAAATTCTGGCATATTATCTACACCAGCATTTTATTTATTTATTTATTATTTTCCATAAGCTCTACACCCAGTGCGGGTCTGGAAATCATGACCTCAAGATCAAGAATCGCCAGCTCAAAAAAAAAAAAAAAAAAAGAGTTGCCAGGTCTACTGACAAAGCCAGCCAGGTTGCCCCTATACCAGCATTTTAAAATACAAGCATTATATTGCTCAAGTATATTCAATGGAATATAAATATAAATACTATACACTTGAAGGTACCAACAAGTAAGAGATTAACATTGATTTTCCCCTGAAATTATATATCCATTCCACTTCCCACACAAAATAGTATCCTAATGATGTGTTTTTTATTCTTAAGAATGGTTTGATTACCCTATTATACTTCTCTCCAACCAAAATATGCCTCTAAGTTAAAAACTTTTTTTGGAATTGTCAGTATTACAATGACTAGTTCATAATGGATTAAAATGTTATAAAAGTGATAACTAACAGTAAAACTCTGTTAAACATGTCAAAGATTTGAGGGGATCCCTGGGTGGCTCAGCGGTTTGGCACCTGCCTTGGGCCCAGGGCGTGATCCTGGAGTCCTGGGATCAAGTCCCACATTGGGCTCCCTGCAAGGAGCCTGCTTCTCCCTCTGCCTATGTCTCTGCCTCTCAATCTCTCTCTGCCTCTCATGAATAAATAAATAAATAAAACCTTTAAAAAAATTTTCAGAGATTTGAGAGTGACTTTTATGGTGCTTTGAGAAAAGGAGGTTTCCCGATATCAGTATTTCAAAAATTTCCCATGTTGCCCCAGAAATGTTAAAGATTTGAGGCAACTAAATGAATTGCACTCTAACCTAGCACGGTGTTCAAGAATATCATAAAACAACAGGAATAAAAAGTTGGTGCTTTTTCACTGTTTTTAGACTATAAGTCACCCCAGCTCTTTGGAAAAATTTGAGGTGGTGCTTCACAGCACGATGGGCGTAGTTACAGAGTTTTGCCTCTTTCCTTCCTTCCTTCCTTCCTTCCTTCCTTCCTTCCTTCCTTCCTTCCTTCCTTCCTTTCTTTTTCTTCCTTCCTTTCTTTTTCTTTCTTTCTTTCCTTTTCCTTTTTTTCCCCCTTTTTTGGTTTTGTTTTTGTAAAATGAGCATGATTGTGAAAAGGGAGAAGGGAAATGTTTCCTTTGCCCATCACCCTCACTTGGACTTGATACTTTATTCTCTTCTGAATCAACAAACAATTCTCAAAATAGCTTTACCAAACACATTTCTAGAGACTGACAGGGAGCCTGTTGCTTCTTAGTATATAGAGGTCAGCATATCGATTACTGGTTTAGCTTAATCTTCTGGTTCCAGGAATAATTTACTTATCTTATTCTTTATGTCTATTGATCTTTCCGAAGACTCCAACTAATAACAAGGTGAAACAAATAAAGAGATTTCCTACTCTTTCAACTGAACTGTGTTAGGGATGATAAATCTGGAACTCCGCCAGTTACTGCCTGGAGTTGTAAATCTTGGGCAATTGGCTACCCCTTTTCTCCAGAGGCCCCGTGCCTCATACACAATTCAGATTTTAGTTCGATCTGCAGAAAGTATTTCCCTACCCTTTCACAGAAATTTTTGACCATGACATCAGTTAAGAAATTCTGCCTTTCAGTAAATACATTTTGCAGAAACAAATTCATATTACTTTGAAATAACAATAAAAATCTCCGAGGACAACAGTTTACTTGATCTTCATAGGTTCTAGAGACAAAGGAGTATCATGACGCTAAATCCTAATAAATGTCAGAGCCCACTGGGAGCACAAAATTGTTCCCCAGGGGTCAGTTCTCACATCATTGACTCATCTGGTAATAATAAAATATGGTTTGGGTTCAGATCTTTATTATTACTTGTTCTTGGTAGTCCATGCTTTTCCCAGAAATGGGTTTAAGATTATTAACAGTGGTCTCTTCTAGAACTTCTCTGATCAAACATAGAGGCTACAGCTCCTTTGTACCTAAGAAATCTAGGCCAAGTGTACCAATCAAGAAACTGAACACAATACTGCTGAGGTTGAGCTAATATAATAGGCTACATAACCCCGTTATATTTGACAGACAACTCTTACTTGAACGATATTGTTATTTGTTGTATCAGATTCATTTAGGAAGGCCTTTTTAAAAAAGCTTTTATTTATTTATTCATGAGAGAGATTGAGAGGCAGAGACAGAAGGAGGCTCCCTGCTGGGAACCCGATGTGGGACTCGATCCTGGGTCTCCAGGGTCATGCCCTGGGCTGAGGGCAGCGCTAAACCACTGAGCCACCCGGGCTGCCCTAGGAAGGCTTAAAACACTTCCCCATCTGATTCAGGAGTACTGCCTAGCAAACAGAAAGAAGGGACAAGTCCCTGTCTTTGATGCCTTAGAACAGTGGTACAAATGGTATCAAGAGTATTGTGGATACAGGAAAGAGGAGCTGGGTGTGACTCACAATACAGTATGATCACCAGAAATATTTGAATATGATCCTTTCATGGTATAGTTTAGGGCAATAGTCTCAAAAACTTTGAAAGAACATCTACTTCCTCAGGATATGAATAGGTATTACAGGGGAAATGTTGCAAGAGTTCCAGAACCTCCATCACGTACCTTTTGAATCTCTAAGAGTAGAGGTATAACATGCCAAATACCCCAGCTTTTTGGAGCAGAGAAGAGCATTCCAGGATCCACAGAACAATTTAGGAAACTCTGGTTTGGGATATAATGTCACCACAAAACAGAGATGTTGGCTGGTTACCAGGAATGCTCTTCTACTTCTATGTGGTATAGGCTGCTGTGAATAATTTTTTCAGCCTACCTAAATTATCCTTGAATTGTTATATTAATATCAAAAGTCAAGATAAGGCAGGTCAATGGGAAAATGGAAAAATATGGCAAGAAAATAAATGACACACAGTTCATGTCTGGGAATCATTTACCAATGATTGTGTATATTCTCTTTCATAGCAGAATATTTGCATTCTTGCTCCCTCAGAAGGATGGCCTTCAGAGCAGCACAACGAGTGAAACAAAGATTCAGGTATCTGGCAAAAAACAATAACAAGGGATGCCTGGGTGGCTCAGTGGTTGAGCGTCAGCCTTTGGCTCAGGTCATGATCCTGGGGTCCTGGGATCGAGTACTGCATGGGGCTCCCTGAAGGGAGCCTGCTTTTCCCTCTGCCTCTGTGTGTCTCTCATGGATAAACAAAATCTTTTTAAAAACAGAACAAAAACAAACAAAACAAAAACAAAAAAAACCCAGCAATTTGTCTACCTTAACCCCTTACATAAAATAGTACCCTTAGCTACTATTTTGCAACTCACTCTGAGTTAACCACTTGTTATTTAAGTAGGTGCTACAAACTCTCTGACACATAAAGTACTTCTTTACAAAAATGCTTTACCAAGATCCTAAACTCACTCTTATTAGCTTACAAGGATCAAAGTCTTGTTTTCAGATTTTCGAATAACATGAAAGTGATCTACAAAGTTTTTAAATCTCTCAATCTCAGATAATTAAGCACTGGATCTACAATGGAAAGAGAACTCTAATTTCAGATGGATTTTAATAAAGACTTAAATAGAAAAAATCATTGACATCCTTTTTTTGCCTTTCTCTACTAAAGTTTATGTTCCACTGTGCAATCAGAAAAGTTCTAGATTGTCAGTTTTACTGAATTACACCTCAAATTTAGCCAGAATCATTCCAAAGTAACACAAAACTGATGTAGATGTAGAAAATTTTCAGTGTAATACTCAAGCATCATAAATTCAAAGCCAAAGCTACTATGAACCTTTTGTAGTAACTTCTCTGTCGCTATTTTGCTATAGTTTATAATGGCTTTTCTTAATCGGTAAGAATTGATTTTTTTTTCAGGTTGGTGAGAAATGCAAATTTATAGCCAAAAAACAAAACGTACTCTAAAGACCATAGGGGGATATTTTTGACAGCTGAGAGATTTACCATGTCTCAGGAAGGCACAAAAGTAGCAGTAAAAGTCTGTCTTAAAGGCTTGGCAGTCCTATCCCTCCCTGGTAAGTGCAACAGCAGGTGGTTCTTTCTGTATCCAAACTTTTCCTTCCTATTGCCGGTATGATCCCATATCACTAGTCTAAAACCTGAATCTTTGGAGAGCAAACCAGAGCTGGTTGGCCTAACACCTTTGTTTCTATGTGGGAAGTTTCTAAGATTAATGTACTATATAAATAAATTAAGGACTCTGGTCAAAGTAATTCAATTTTGCTGTTCAAAGCAAGGAGATAGCAAAACACTGCCATCTGAACACAGTCAAAACCAGGGGCGGGATGAAGGGGGCGGAATCCACATATTTAAAAAACCAAAACCATACATTAAAGCTCAAGCACTAGATCCTCTCTTAGAATGTATTTATTTTTAAGCTAGACACACATTTAACCAAATGCTTTTCCAGTGCTAGGCAGGCGGGTTTAGAAGCAAGGAAGGACGAAAGTCATTAAAAGCAGCCACATTTATTTTTAAAACTAGGCTGAGGCAAGTGCAGTGCTAACAGGCCTCCACACTGGGGCAAGATTGAAGGATATCCTCGGAGGTAAACCCGGTGCTGAGTCAAAGGATGAAGACATCAAATCTTCGTTTATGTCATACACCATGTCAAAAAAGGATTGAAGGACACATTTAAGAAGGCAGGACCATTTTTATCTAATACCATGAAAAATGTGAAAGATGACTTGAGCGTGTATGGGCCCAAGACTACCCTCCCCCATCCCAAAACACACTGCAACACCCAAAACCTCCATCTTTCAGTGTTAGGACATGTTGGTGTCACCTAATTCATAAGTAAATTGGAATTTGGGGGGATTCTTTTACAATGAAGATCTCCGAATCAAGAATCCATTAGCCAGTGCAACTAAGGAAATTATCTGGAAAATTGTAAGGTTTTTTTTTTTTCAAGGCTGGAATGCCAGGCCCCTCAAAAGCGACTATAGACAAGGCTGCCTGTGACATCTCTCTGCTCGCTGAGTGGTGTTGCTGGAGCTGCAGGTTTTTTTTTTTTGTTTTTTTGTTTTTTTTTTTAAATCCTGAGATTTAAAAACTGACGAGTCCAGAAACTTAGTGGAGTCAGGATAATGTTGGTTAATCTAATACTGATGTGGGTAATGTTGGTCAGTTCCTGAGGGAAGGTTTACAGAGACCTTGATTACGAGGCACAGTCCATCTGCACGCATGTAGGTAGATAGATGCCTTAGACATGGGAGTGTTTCTGTTTTATATTCAAAGTTGAGAAACTGCAGTAGTTAATCTTCTGTTGCTTGAAGTGTGTCCCAGGGCCAGATGGTAAGGTAGTCCTCAAAATTCTCTTTAAATCCGTTTGGTTACACTCATGCAGAAAGACTTGATTTGGTGTTTTTATGTCTTTTTACCCTTACCTAATAGTATTTATTAATCACACTTTTTAAAAAAGGAGAGTAGATTGGGGGCTGTTGTCACAGCAATACTCCATAGCTAGAATTTAATAACATTGCTGTGCTTTCGTTATATTCTAAGGTAATCCAGTCAAAGTGATAATAATAATTTCCCACTTAGCGAAGTGACGTGCTTCCTTTTAAAAATAAAATTGACATCAAAAAGTGAGTCATTGTAAAGAAACGTTCTGAGTAAGGAATCCTTTTAAATATAAAATTAGAATGGGATGTGGACCTGGCAAAAAAACCAACAAGATCCTTCTAGTGTCTGAAGTGTCGAAAACCCTGCGTTAAAGTCCAGTTACCATTTAAAAATAAATTGACATCAAAAAGCGAGGCGTTGTAAAGAAAACGTTTTGAGTAATACTTTTAGATATAAAATTAGAATGGGGTGTGGAGATGGCGAAGATCCATCAAGATCATTCTAGTGTCTGTTTTTTTTTTTAATTTTTTTTTTTTTAGTGTCTGTTTTAAAGTCCAGTTAGCACATACGCAAGCTAAACACTGTTATTTTATAAACTCCCCAGTTAGTAAGTTTGTGAACAGGAGAACTCTTTGCTAATGATGTTAAGGGATGTGAATAGTGTTAACCACGTTTATAGCATAACCATGTCTTAAATCACTGGTTTTGCAGCTGAGCGAACTGCAGGCCCAGGAGGAGGACAAGTGAGCCAGCTGAGACCCGGAGAAATCCACATCCCTGGAATCCTCAGGGCACGCACTGCCCTCACATACACGGAGATAAAGGGCCTCTGGTCTCTCTGATTGACGTACGGAGTTTAGGCAACACAGTGAGGGTAATTTCAAGGTACCTTACACCTTAGTTAAAACAGATTTTCAATGACATCAAACTATAAGCACCTGATGGAGGAAAGGCTGAGGGTGGGTCAGGCTTATTTCTACCCCCACTGCTCCTTGAAGATGGGCTCCTCTCTATTTTTGGGGGTGCGGTGGGGGGGCCGAGGACCGATCCCGCCAAGGAAGCCACCTACTGGGCATATAAAAAGGACAGGGGATCCGCAATTTTTCTAGCTCGCTATGGGGATATTTTGAAATTTTGTTATTTTGGCCGTTCTCTTTTTTCCTGCCTGCATCCCGGCAACAGAATGAGTTACCAGTTCGTTTGAAGTTATGCCAAAAGGCTCCCGGGGACCTGCAGCTCTGCCTGGCCTTGCCGGTCCACTCCCCGTCCTCCCCAGGGCTCCCAGGGCCTGGCTCGCTCTGCAGATTTCCAGCATCCCTGTCCCTTCCCCGGCTCAGCCCCGCGCGGGCAAAGTGGCAGCTGTTAGAAGGGAATGATCTCATTTTCCCCCCATACCGAACCCAGCCAGCTATCTACATTCACTCCTGGATGCTTCCAGAACCTAAGCACCACCACATTACAACGATTTTTGTTTTGTCCTCATCCCTGTTTTATTCCCGAGGACTGAAAGCAGCACCTTGTAAAGTAATAGGTGTATGAGAAATATTTTAATATAAAAGAGTTGTAACCCCGTCTTCCTTTTTGATGCAGGAGCTAGAACTGTCCCCGTGGCTGAGATGAACCCCTCACGGGTGCTGGTTCTCACTCATCCCCTCCCGCCTATTCAGATTTCTCTCCTGCAATAACCCACATCTCCTGACAGCAAATGTCTGTCCCCTTCTAATGGAATATTCCAGTTGGCATACGATGCTATATTGTCTCCTTGAGTTAAAATCCTCCCTAAGCTCACCCACACCCTCAGCTACACCCTTGCTCCCCTTTACATCAAAACTTGAGTTGCCCTGGGGCACCTGGGGGGGCTCAGTCGGTTAAGCTTCTGTCTGCCTTCTGCCTTTGGCTCAGGTCATGATCCCAGGGTCCTGGAATCGAGCCCTGTGGGGGGCTGCTTCTCCCTCTCCCTCTCCTCTGCTCCTGCTTTCTGAAATAAAATCTTTAAAAAACAACAAAAAAAACTTTTGTCCGCAACTGCTGATTCTACTTCTGTCCCCTTCTGCTCCCAACCCACTCCAAGCAGCTCCTCATCCCCAAACTCACAGCCTGTTAACTCCGCAATTCTCCCAACCTAGTGACTCATGGTCATCCTATTTGAGCAGCACTTGAATGAGTGACCATTCCTCTCTTGAAACATGTCACTTTCATCCTGGTGTGTCACATTTCTCTGCTTTCCGTCACGGAGAGATCTGAAGTCTCCTCTGCTGGCTCCCCTTCCAAATGTTTTAGTGCCCCACGGCCCACCCCACCCTCTTCTGGACCTACGTGGCTGCTACTCAAGCTGTGGGTTCCCGGCCAGCATCATCATCAGCCCCACTGAGGAGCCTGTTAGAAATGCAGTTTCTCGGGCCCCACACCAGACCTACTGATTCCGAATCTGTTAACAAAAACAGGGGACTCTCAGCCACATTAAAATTTCAGAGGCACTCAACTGTTTACAAGTGATTTCAGTCACAAGGCTTTAAACTCTATTCATAGGCTAACTCCCAAATGTTTAGCTCCCTCCCGCAATCCCATGCTGGATTTTAGGAGAAAGTCAAACCCAAATGCAAACAGAAATCTTAATTTTTCCCCTCAAGCCAAAAAACCTGAGTCGTTCTCTTTGCTTTCTAATTGCTGGGCCAAAATCCTCCTGTTGCCAGTTGTTGAAGATGCAGAGTCCTACCATCCTGGTCTAAGCTTTCAGTATTTCTGGTGCAAGGACTTTTTTTTTTTAAGATTTTATTTATTCATGAGAGACACACAGAGAGAGGCAGAGACAGGCAGAGGGAGAAGCAGGCTCCTTGAAGGGAGCCTGATGTGGGACTTGATCCCAGAACTCTGGGATCATGACCTGAAGGCAGATGCTCAACCACTGAGCCACCCCGGCGTCCCTGGTGCAAAGACTTCTAAAAGAATCTCTGGACACTCCCTATTTTCATCAAGGCTCCCTATGATACACATTACATGTAGCATGATCGGAGTGATCTTCAAAGAACTCTTCAATATAAACTCACTTATGAACTCTTCAGTATAAGCCCTTCCCAAACTTCCCACTATGGCTTTCAAGAGTCAAGTTTTCTAGTCCCTTCCACACTGTGTCAAGTGCTCTAGTCAAACTGACAAGCTGGTTTTACTCTTCCCTCCCTTAAACTTCCTTATTTCCCTCTAGTCTCAGCTCAAAAGTCACTTCCCTCCAGAACTTTAATCACCGTAATTCTCACCTCCCTTCCCAACTGTTGTGTTATGGGGCTTTACTCCCCTCCTACAGTCACCTACCATCACATATATCTGGCTCCCCACCAAAACGTCTGGCTTATGAGCAAGGACTTTTTAAATCACCACTGCTTAGAAACAGTGCCCAGCATAGAAGAAGCACTCAAGTGTTGAGTCTTCAGTGTTAGCAGACCACTGGGGGCAAGGGACAACCTCCTGTGTATCCATCAGATATGTACTTATATCTGACCTTACATATAGGTCTTATAGATATATAGGCCTTATAGATATATAGACCTTATATGTGCTTCAGAGTCATATAAATCTGGATGTAGAGAAGCCACCTACAGTTTTCAATAGGTTCAAATCATAATATGGCAGTTCTAAAACTTCTCTGTATATTAGAATCACCTGGGGATTTAACAATTCTAATGCTTCAGCCACATTCCAGATGAATTAGATCACAATTGCTGGGCGTGGGACACACGTATCTGTATTTCTTGAAGCTTTTGAGGTAATTCTACTGGTTTATAGCATGAGTTGATAACCATGGTATGAGCCAGCATATGAAATCTAGAATACTTAAAAGAGAAATCCTAGTCAAAATGTTATGCAAACTTAAGACATTCCCATGTGATATCGAAAACAAACAATTCATAAAAATAAAACTGTCTCAAACATTAGGTCTTAAGGAGAGCGCATCTTCCAGAATTTTCCATGTCTGTTTTCCTATCAAGCCTAATCCAAATTTGGGTACTTTTATTATGAAGTGGGGTTTTTTCCTTCATATGCTGAGAGAAATTTAATGTATGAAAAAGTGTTGACTTCTACACAGTCACATCTGAAAGCTTTTGGAGACTTTGCACATATGGATATTTTTAATGGTGTCAGGTAAAGAGCTCATCCTAGTAATAAGGATGTAATCACTAAGACAAAATGCTGTATTCTCAAGAGAGAAAAGAATTTTTTTTTTACAACTCAACTATGTTACAGTAAAATAAATTCTTCATCATGCTGTCTAATATTTCTCGCTCAAGAAGCAATATAACCAACTGGTTCCAGTCATCAAGCAAAATATCCTTAAGACAGAAGTTAATCAACTGTTGTGCATTTACCTGTCTCAAATATCAACTTTAAACCGTCTTCATATCTCAGAATGACGGACAAAATTAACAAAAGAGAAAAACAATTCATTTGATTATTAAAATCCTCACTATAGTGCAAATACTATAGATTTCAAAAGAACCTTGGACATAGTTAAGCCAACCTCATATTACAGATGAATAACCTGACACCTAGATGAGGTGAAATAACATGCCTAAAAGTCACACAGGAGAGCTGGAAGAGAAAAAAAAAAAAAAAAAAACTTTTTTTTTTTTTTCCAAACAAGCAGACAGAATTTTTCACATGTTAATCAAAAAGAATCAAGATCATCAGATTAGGAAGAAATGAGGAATAAAAAGTATGTTACACATAGATTTAAAGAACTAGTCAATCTGCTGCCCCCTCCCCCAAAACCAAAAAATTCTCCGAATATATGTTCGTATATCCATCAATATGCTTACCCTTAAAATATCAGAATCTCGGAAAATTCAATTTACAAATACATTATTAATTGCATTGTTATAATGAAATTAGTTCATTAAACGTGAAAACATCAAACAGCACCAATACCAGAAAGTTAAAGTGAATACACTATTACTTAAAATAATATATAATCACTGATTGGGACAGAAATCAACTATAGCCACTAGCAAAACTATTTCAACTCCTGTTTGATGTAAAGGCAATATTTTAAAGACCAGTCTGCGCCCTTTTTCCCACTGGCGGGCCTGTGGCTAGGCATCGCAGAAGTGGGTCACGTGGAAAATGTTATTAAATAAGATGCATTTTTTAAAATTGCTCAACCTTGAACCATGATACTGCATAACCCCAAATTTTCCAATATAAGCCAATGGCACCATTTTTGGTATCCTAACTATGCTTAGCTGTCCCAATTAAAACAAAACAAAACACAACTCCCTTATTAAGCACTAGGTTAAATGGGTCTATGATGCAGCAGCAAGGCATTTACAAATGGGCTACTGACAGTGTATCAAAATGCTACTAAGGAAAATACAGCAGCAAATACTCTAATAAGAGCACATTATTCCACATGGAATCCCAAATTATTCTTATCTCTAGCTCCTGAGATTCTTGGAAGACTAGAGATGAACAAGTGTATGTATAAATGGGGCTAGGGAGAAAGAAGCTCTGAATGTAGTGTTCATATTTTAAATTACCCAAGATAATTTGAATGCTTACAGAGAACTCCAACTGTATCTAAATTTTTTAAAGCCCATAGAACTAAAATGCTAGCAAAACTTTGGTGTTTACCCAAAAAACAGCTTTGTAGTTTTAAATGAAAATGAAATAGGCATGGTTTGTGAAGGTTTTATAATGTTCACACCACCCTCTCCCTATTCCCTGCTCCTTTCATCAGGTGATCTAAAGACTACCTGGTTTAAAATATTTGGTAATTCAGTGCAGAAAATTAAGGTCACAGACAAAGTACAACAACTTTTAATACACCATTAATACTAATGATTAAAAATTATTGCATAGTCTTATGCATTTACCCTAAAACATTTTCTGAAAGTAAATTCTGAAAGAATTATATAAAAGACAAATAACCTTTTAAAACGTGGATGGCATTTACTACCTCGATCTTCTATCCTTTTTTGCCTTGTCAGTACTTTTGTCCATTGTTTTCTCATTATCTCCCCTGCACTTTGGGCAATACCACTTCCCCTTTGGTTTATAGGTAAGCGAAACACACGAAAAGTGAAACCATTCAATTGGACACTGTTCATTGTCACATCCGATCATTTCCCCATAAGACACTTGGTTACACAAACAGTATGTAGGTTCATTGGGATCTATTGCAAACTCAACAGGTGATGCTTCCCTTTCCTGCTTGGCCTTGGAGCGTTTCTTTTTCTTGGCTGACTTGGATTTCTTTTCCTTAGGTGGCTGATCATCACAGTCTTCAATCCCATTCGTCATGTGACATAAATCACGGCTTTCACTGGTTCGCTGTCTGCGGGGTCTTCTCGAAGATCTTTCTGGTTGGCTGGAATCCATCTTTCCCTTATCCGAGGCCCGTTCACCTTCAGCAGGATCTTGAAAACACTGTGAATGCAACTCCATTTGCCTTGCCCGATTTTCCACCAATTCGAGCATCTGCGTGACAATCTGAATTTTTTCATCTCCCAATTCTTGACTATTGATTAATGCTCTCTGGAGATGCTGCTGTAGGCGTTTTTTCTGGTTTGAATCATCTTCTTTCTTATATTTTTCATAGACATCATCAATTTCCTTTAATGTTTCTAAAAATGTAAGAGAAAATCAGAACATTTGTGCATTAGCACATATAATATTTTTTAAGTTAGCTATCTTTCACAGAATTGGTAAAGTTGAATGAACTCAAATCATAAAACCACACTCCTCTTGGCAGGTATACATTAAAAAACATTAATTCCCACAGAAAAACCGTATGTTATCCAATATGAAAGCATATTTAGAAATAAACTAGTAAGAATACAAAGCTTTCTTTTTAAATTTTATTTATTTAAACAGCTTTCTAATACTCATTAATCTATATTTAAAAGGATAAGAACAGTGCCTGGCTGGCTCAGTTGGTAGAGTGTATATGACTCTTGATCTCAGGGTCATGAGTTCAAGCCTCATAATAGGCACTGAGCTTACTTTAAAAAAAAAAAGGATAAGAAGAAATGTGTGCACTAATTAGTACTCAAACTATTTTATTTACATGGGCAAGAACACTGTATGCCACTTTACAGTCTACCTAGTAAAGTCACCTATATTTCATTTGAACCTCAAAACGACACTAATAATCTACATGCCAGTCTTCAACTGTTAAACTTAGGTTCTAAAACTAGGCTACAGATAGATTACTGTCCAACTGTGTTTACAGGACTCCAGAGAGACATTACACCTTTACTTTCATATCATACCCCTGGACACTCTTAAACAAAGCAGACACAAGTTAACTTTTCCCACCATTTTAGTTTTAATGGCTCTTTTATTTTACCATATGGGAGATTCTGAAAACCAAACTATTTCCAGAGTAGGTTTAGGTTCAGATTCTGGCATCAACTGACTAAGCTACTAACAAAATTATAGTAAAGTCAGCACTGGATCACTCTGCTTTTGTAGATAACTCAGCAGTTGGTTTTAAGCTTTTTGAACTGCTGATTTTGGTATTGTATAGCGTGTGGCACACAATTTAAATCAATTAAAAATGTCTGAGTCACTATAAAGTATAAAAAGTCTAAAAATATAGTTCCAGATGTCACCAAAAATTTACATAAGATTGTTTTTTATTCAGATCTGTTCTATTTCTTGTCCTTACAAGATATAAAGCTATCTAGAAGAGTTGTCTTACTAAAGGTGGGGGAACAAAAATTAATTTACCACACCACGTGGCATATCACGGTTTTATATTCTAATAGTACTACCAGCACATGACATTCCATTGTTTTACCTTCCAATATTATCAATGATAACAACAGAAATGTTAGACAAGTGCATACACTAGGGCTGTCTGCAAGAATGGTTAACACAAAGCAAGTAGTCAATACAACTCTTATGAATTAACTCCTCCCTAGAAATTATTAAGTACTCACACTTGATGGATAACTGCTTAAGTTATCCATGGGATACATGACAAAGTGCTACCACACATTTGAGGGTACTCATACCTGCATAGCATATTTTAAAACAAAGGTTTTTTTAGCCCATTTCTAGCCCATTTGCCCAGCTCTGTACGTAGGTGGCTTTCCTAAGAATATCACTTTTCTCCAGGAAAAATAATTATATATTTTCCCCTCAGACATAAAACTTGAGGATTAAAAAATAAACGTAAACCTTAAGCCTTATTTAAATATTCTGTACCTATCTATCAGGAGTTAGAAGCTAATGATGTCATACAGGCACACTGATGCTGTACATGAGAAAAATTCACATTTCTAGGACACCTTAATTACGTAATGAAAGAAGAGAGGAAACTAAGACCGACTAAGCCCCTTTTATGTGTTAAGGATTTTCTCATTTAATCTCCAAAGCAAGCTCAATGAGGAAGGTATGTATAATTTCTGTATGTGAAGAAAATGAAGGTCAAGAGGTAACAACCCTAGACTTTGAACTCTGCCAGGTATGTACACCTGGCTCTGCTGTTTAAGCACTTTCTACTAAGCTCCACGGAAGGCACTTGAAATTAAGTATTAATTTTTAGTTCAATGGTTATTTACTCAAGAAATTACAAACAAGAATACCGGAACAAATATTGAAGTTCTCTAATAACCATATCCCATAACAAATACTTTTTTCAATTGTGAAACTGTTGTCTTCATTTCCCTATTTTTAAAAGTTTTTAAGGCTACTTTTAAAGATTCTTCAGTAATTTCTGAAACTGTCTCAAATAGATAGGAGAGAAACTTTTTTGACTTCCTATATTTTATATCACTAAATACTGCGGTAAGTATCAAACGCAAAAACAGAAAATACATAAGAACTAGCAAAGAAATAAAAAGCATATGAAGTTGGATCCCGGAGCACACAAGCACATAAAGCTATTCAACATAAAACTGTGCAAGTGGAGCTTTGTAAGCATGGGCACAGACTGAAAACTAGATCCTTGTTTTTATATTAATCTTGAAAGTCACCAATCTTAATGGAGCCGAAAACATTTATAATCTCTCGATCTCTTAAAGCTTAATAGTGTTTCTCATGTTACCAAAGCCACTCAGGACAATTCTAGATGGTCAGGATGGCAGATTTCCCTGTAACCAATTTTCCCTCCCAATTCAAATGAAAATGGCTGAACTCTTGTAAATAGGGGTCCTTAAGGAAATGTAAAAATATGCAGTCTTTACAAACAAACTTCGCAGAGTTACTATTTGAAAAACAAAAAATGTTCAATCTACAATTCTTAAGCACACGTGTATCATCTTAGGCTACAATTCACGTCTGTGCTCCATGTCTGCAGAAAACACCTTGGGGGGGGGCTTTTATCAAGTAAGTTTTAATAGAAAATTAATAATGGTACAAAAACAAGGATGTGCGCGAGAAGTAACCATCCTACTTCCCCACCTACTTAACTGAACAAGTCACTTCAATTCCTCGTGAATTTTAACTTGTCTGTAAAACAAATGTTTACTTCATAGGATTACTGTGAGATAATGTTCTGGACCTGGCACAGCGATGATACACGGTAGGTAATCACTATTTCATTCTCTCCCCCTCACAGAGACCGGTCCTATCAACAAGCCTATCGTGTGGGTTACGAAGGCAGAAATAAAGTATAGATTCGGAAACACAGAGACACCTAAATATCCTAACACGCTGCAGGCCAGCAAATGTCACCCCAGAAGTGGGTTCCTTTGAAACTAAATCGTAAGATTAGTGACCGGTCTAGAAAAGAGGACGGGGTCCCAAGTCATCCTATTGAAGTCCGTACGGCTGTCTCCACATCACGTCCAAGGTCTAGTCCTCGATCAGGGTCATTAAACGCAAAACAGTTCCCCATATAAATTTCTCCCCTCCTAGTGGCAGACGAAAGGTCCACCAATACTGGATGGCAAATGATACGCTCTGTCGGAAAGCGGGACTCCCTGCCTTGGGTTCCCTGGGTCTGACCACGGAGGGTCGTTTTTGCCTCATCACTCAAACTTGCCGAAGGAGGGACCCGCGGGTTGAGGGACGCCAGGCGGTTGCCCAGTCAACCACCCACTTCCGCCTGCGGCCCGGAAGTGACGCAAGCCCCGGAGCCTACGCGGGACCAGGGTCCGCGACGATCCCGGTAGCTGAGCGTTTCTTCGTCCTGAGTGGTTCAGAAAGGGTCGAAAAACCACGACAAACACGTCCCAAACCTCAGCACTGACCCTGCTGGTTAGGAGCTAAGGTCCGCAAGGTTCCGACAGCGCCCCGCCAGCCAGCTCCGCCCAAGCCTTCCCGCGACCTGCCATTTTCGAGGCGGGCGGCAGCGCGCCCGCCCGCGCCCCGCCCACGTCCTACGTCACGCCCCAGGCCCCGCCCCCAGGGCCGGGAGGCCCTCCCCGCCACACACACACCCCTCTGCCTTCCCCCGCCGGGACCCCTCCCCTTTTAACCATTTGGCTGTAGGCGCCGGGGAAGGGCCGCGGCCCGGAACTTTCCCTGGGGCGGGAGAAAGGGAACGTACTCGGTGCCCGAGCCCCGAGCCGGAGCGCCGAGGGAGGGACCTCCCCGAGTCCGCCTTCGCGGCCCTCTCTTGCTGCTCCCCCGCCCCCCCCGCACGTTCCAATGCATCTGCTCCCGGGGTGGGGGCCGGAGGGGCGGGGGGGGGAAAGCCAGGCCCCGGAGACCAGCGGGAGCCCGGCTGCGGCCGGCCGCTCACTCCCTCCACCCCCCGCCCGCTGCACGCTCCCTCGCCGGGGCTGGAGGGTCTGCGGCACGGGGCAGGCAAGCGCCGGAACAAATGCTGCTTAAAATGGCTGATTCCTCCGCACACCAGCTGCAGCCGCTGGGTCTGCAGCGGGGGCTGACGAGCGGCCCCCACCCCCACCCGCGATACCCCACAGAAGTCCTCGCCGACCGCGGCGGGGGGAGGGAGGGCCGCGAGCCCAGCCTCCAGACCCGCTCCTCCGTCCCCCTCCGCCGAGCCCCTCCGTGCGCTCGGGGGGCGGGGGGGGCCAGCAGCAGGGTGGGGGGGACTGTCACAGGAGAAATGGAAAGTGGCACTTCCCCGGGCAGGGCAGGCTCGGAGCGACGGCGCCCGCAGGCCGGCGGGAGGACCCGCACTCGCAGCCGCGCGGCCCCCTACCTTGATATTTGTTGTCCAGCTCTCGGAGCACAGACACGTTCCTCTGCATGTCGTGGGGCAGCGACTCCACGCACTCGAGGTAGTCCTGCACGTAGCAGGTGAGCAGCCGGCTCCGCTCCCCGGTCAGGAGCGCGGCCGACGAGTAGAGTTGCTGCTGCTGCTGCCCTAACATCCTGCCGCCGCCGCTGCTGCTCCTCGCCGCCGCCGCCGCCGCCGCCTCCGCATCCAGCAGCCACACATGCACCAGCCACGGCCGCCGCGGCTCCTCTGCTCGGCAGCTCGGCAGCCCGGCGCCGCGGGGACGCCGGCAGCCGCTCGGGAGGGCACCGCCGAGTCCCCCGATCTCCACTCCCCCCAAAAGCAGCCCTCACTCCCCGCCCCCGCGGGAACAAGCCCAGGGGCGGGGCGAGAGCGGGGCTCCCTCCTCTTTCCCCTCCCTCCCCAGGACTAGAGCAGCGGGGATCCCCCGGCGGAGCTGGCGCCGCGGTCCCCGGCGTGGACACCGCCGCCCCCCGCGGAGCCCCCGGCGCTAGCAATGCCGTCCCGTAGCCCGGGTCCCCATGACAAGCCCCTCGCCGCCCCCCTCTCCTCGCAGTCGCCCTCCGTGCCTGTCGGAGAGTCTCTCACTGGACTGCCCCCGCCCCTCCGCCTGCGGCCGCGTCTGCGCCTGCGCAGGACCCGCTCCTAATAAGGCCGGGGGCCCGCCCCTACCGCCCTACCGGAGGGTTCGCATTCTCCCGCCTTCCCTCCGCCGCCCGGGCGATTGGTCTGTCCGCTCTCGGCCGCGGGGGGAGGGTGCGGAGGACGGCCAAACGGCAGGCTGCGCCCCGCCCCCTCTTAAAGGGGCAGCGCTGTCAAGCCCGCCTCTTCGCTCAATGTCTGAATGGGACTGGAGAGGGAAGGCGGCTGGCTCCTTCTTCCGTCGTTCCCACGGGGAAGGGGACTCTCGGTGCGAGTCCCTCGGCCCGCTGTTACCCACATTTTCCTTCTGGGGGGGGGGGGGGAGCGCCCTGGCGCGGCGCGGCAAGTCGCGGGGCTTTAAAAGAGCAGCAGGCGGCCGGCCGCTTCTCGCTACGAGCTGGAGGAAGGCCGGCGGGAACTACGCTACCCAGCGTGCAGCGGGCGCGGCTCCCGGCATGCTCGGCGGCCGTGTTCCCGCCAGGCCGCCGCCTCGACGCGGCCCGCGGGCCGGGCGTCCTCCTCCTCCTCCTCCTCCTCCTCCTCCTCCTCCTCCTCCTCCTCCTCCTCCTCCTCCTCCTCCTCCTCCTCCTCCTCCTCCTCCTCCTCCTCCTCCTCCTCCTCCTCCTCCTCCTCCTCCTCCTCCTCCTCCTCCTCCTCCTCCTCCACTCCTCCTCCTCCTCCTCCTCCTCCTCCTCCTCCTCCTCCTGCACTCCGCCGTGCAGCCCGCATCTGCCCCCTCCCGTCCCCCCACCCCCCAGAAACGTGTTTTGTCCAACACACAACCTTTAGAAAAGGATTTCCCCCTCCTCGGGGTGTCGGAACGGGGGAGCCTCAGACGTGCCCACGCCCCCCGCCTCCATCAGTCCTCGCCCGGAGGCCGAAAACCGCAGGGGCTCGGGGGCGGGAAGAGGGGAGGCGAGAAGAGAAGCCCTGGTCCTCCTCCGTGCGGTCGACTTTCAGGGCTCAGTTTCCGCGCAGTGTTCGACGCGGCGGCCGAGCGGAGGGGCCGAGGTTGCTGCCACAGGGACTCTCAGGACGGGATAACGTGGGACTCGGGGAGACGAAGCGGCCCTAAAGAGGACGAACACGCGGAGAATGTCAGCGGCAGGCTTGCGAGAGCAGGTGCCTTCGAGTCAGACGGGGAACGTCAGGGGGCTGTCCCCCCGGACACCCCCCCCCCCCGCCCCGCCGCGTCCGGTGCGTCCGCAGGGGCCGCGCACCTGTCCGGGGACCTCTGCAGAGCACTTTTGAAAACCAGTGTTTGTACGAGTGCCCCTCGACGTGCAAAGAGAAGTGCAGGCTCTGACCTGCAGGAAATTTTGCATTTCAAGGCAAAACAGAGCAACAGCCTCCGGAAAACTCGGCCGCTTGGGGACAACAGAAAATCCTGCACGGGGCTGGGAGACGGCCTGGCGTTCTCCTGTGGCCCTCTTGTCCTCGACTACTCGAATATTACATTAACCCAGGCGGTACCGTGCGCTGTGTTTGTGAGAACCGTCTAGGGATTTCATTGCGCTCGGTCTTGAGCTCTTTCAGAGTCAACAGCCAGGTTAATGTCAAGAGCCAGTCACGTTAAAAATTGCATTTTACTGGTTTTTTTTAAATTTTTTTTTTTTTTATGATAGTCACACAGAGAGAGAGAGGCAGCACACAGGCAGAGGAGAAGCAGGCTCCATGCACCGGGAGCCCGACGTGGGATTCGATCCCGGGTCTCCAGGATCGCGCCCTGGGCCAAAGGCAGGCGCCAAACCGCTGCGCCACCCAGGGATCCCGCATTTTACTGGTTTTTACCTGAACCCTACTGTTCTGTTTGTTTACTCCTGGGTTTGATTCGGGTACTCTTTATTGGAGGCCCAGAATAATGCAAGATGCCCCCCTTTTTTTTTCTTTTTACTGATTCAGGTTAGACACTGAATGTACCCATGGATTTTATTCAGCCTGAGAAGTAACCTGCAGGCAGACAGGACACGTGGTTAGAACCTAGCGGTAAGAGAGGCGGAGACGCAGAATACTTAAGACTACCTCGTCCAGGAACCCAGAGCAAGAAGAGAGGAAAGGAGGCTGGGTATGATCATGAAGATCTATACATTATTTTCACCTTTCATAACTCTGTTGAACAGGCTGAAAGGAAGCAAAAAATCCAAATAGTGATTTTTTTTTTTTCAGCTTGTGTTGGTCTGTGCCTATAAAGAACACTGTAATTTGTGTGTGTGAGAGAGAATTATTTTGGATGTGCTTTGTTTTGGGATATTGATTTGTAAAAGTTTTTTTTAAATGTTCCTCCTTTATTTTTTTAAAAGATTTTATTTATTTATTCATGAAAGACACAGAGGAAAGAGAGAGGCAGAGACACAGGCAGAGGAGAAGCAGGCTCCATGCAGGGAGCCTGACATGAGACTCCATCCTGGGACTCCAGGATCGCACCCTGGGCCAAAGGCAGGCGCTAAACCGCTGAGCCACCCAGGGATTTCCCTGATTTATAAAAGTTAATGAAAGATGTATTCCTGCCATGTTTATGTAAGCACACTGCATGGGAAGAGTACTTTATGGAAAAAAAAATCACCATATTCCCCAAATTCAACTTTTTTTTTTTTTAAGATTTTATTTATTCATGAGAAAGGGAGAGAGGCAGAGTCATAGGCCTGCCTTCTCCTATAGGAGAAGTAGGCTCTTTATGGGGAGCCCGATGCAGGACTTGATCCCAGGACCCTGGGATTATGACCTGAGCTAAAGGCTCAACCACTGAAGCCCCCAGGTACACCCCAAATGCAACTCTTGACCTTTGGTTATTTATCATGTTCTTTTCTTCTCAGTGAACACTTAACTGGGCATTTGGTGGCTTTTCACATTGGGTCGCCTTGCTGAGCTAAAGGTAAAATTTTAAAGTCCCCAATTCCCTACGATGTAGGAATTAATTGGTTATAGTAAATCCTCTGGTAAAGCAAAAAACATCTTATATGCTTTTCAAAATATTTTCTACCATAAAGTAGCCCTTAAAAAGATAAGTAAGCCCAAAATTAGTAGAAGTGTCTGGGATTCCCTGTAATTTCAAAGTCAGGTTCTTTTAAGAGACCTCTGGTGGTAAATGTTAATGCCTCTAAACCTATGTCTTATAGCCCTTATTTATGTTGTGAGAGGGTAGGGCAACAGCTCCAAACAGCTTCAAACCAGCAGATAGTTCTGAAGGATTCTTAAAGATACCTCCTGAGAAGATTTAGTTCTTGCTTATGTCAGGCCAATTAAATTTGAAATGCTTTTCTTCTTTCTACTTCTTAATGTTTTGTAAAACTTTTTAATTACGGAAATTTCCAAACATGCTCAAGAGTAAAGGTAATAATACAATAATGCTAACACACTATTCATCCAGCTTGGACATATATCAGTATATGGCCGACATTATTTCACTTATGGCCTTCCACACTTTCTTTCCCTTGCTGGGTTGTTGTATTTTATCTGAAAATAAGTTAAGTATAGAGGGATAAGAAATTATTTTTTTTTTAGAAACATACCCACAATTCCATTATCCCATCAAAAAGATTATCTATCGTTTAATACCCAGATGAATAAAGTTTCCAGATATCTCTGTTGTCTCATCAGTATCTTTTTACACTTGATTTAACAGATTCCAAACAAATTCCACACCTTGCATTTGGTTAGTTAGATCTTTTCTAAACCAGTAAGAGGCAGTTAATTCTCTATTTAATTCAGTAAAGCAAATAGCAATGTTTTTCTAAGGAGGGTATTTGGATAGTTAAAGCATTATTAAAAGTGTAAGGAAATTTGGGGCACCTGGGTGACTCAGTGGGTTAACCGACTGCCTTTGCCTCTGGTCATGATACCAAGGTCCTAGGATTGAGCCCCATATCCAGCTCTGCTCAGCAGGGAGCCAGCTTCTCCCTCTCCCTCTGCCTACTGCTCCGCCTACTTGTGTGCTCTTTTTCTGTCAAATAAATAAATAAAATCTTAAAAAAAAAAGTCTAGGGAAATTCAAGAAAAGCACTTTAACAAAAACTCTTATGTTAAAAGATCACCAATTGATAGCCCACAGTAGAAATCTAATTGTACCTAATGCACGTAAGTAAATCATTACAAATCTAAGAGTTTTTATTAGAGTATAATTTTTTCTGGAAGATCCAGTGAAACAGTTTAAGTTGTACTGAAAATACCGAAAATTTCAAATCAGCTCATTAGTACAATAGGTAACTAAAATGAAGAAACAGTTTATTTCCATTGAGGTCAGTTTTAAAGTATTTTTAATTGCTTTATTGCTTAAGTAGTCCAGACTAATTGTATTTTAAAAAACAGAAAATAGAGCTAGAAAGAGGATACATAAAAATCACTACAAACTGGAGATAGCAGGGATCCCTGGGTAGCTCAGAGGTTTAGCGCCTGCCTTTGGCCCAGGGCGTGATCCTGGAGTTCTGGGATCGAGTCCCACATCAGGCTCCCGGCATGGAGCCTGCTACTCCTTCTGCCTGTATCTCTGCTTCTCTCTCTCTATGTCTCTCATGAATAAATAAATAAAATCTTAAAAAAAAAAAAAAAACTGGAGATCGCTTTTCTCGGAGTCTAAGTATACCCTCAAGATATAATTACAGTTTGCTTCTTTGTTTTAAGGAAATACTTTGGCTAGGAATAAAGGATGAAGTTAAAATACCAGATTCTTGAGGTGGAACATTAGAAACAGGAGCAAGGTTGGTCTGTACATTTGGCTTATGAGGTAGACAGCACAGATTTAAAATTGAGTGCATACAGTCAGTCCCACTATGAGTTATAG